GAACATGCAAACTCCACACAGAAAGACCCCGGCCTGATGTTGGAATTGAACTCAGGACCTTCTTGCTGTGCGGGAACAGTGCTAACCACCGTGCCACCGTGCTGCCGCTTTTATCCTTTAACCCTATTTAATTTCACTGAACACTTGTCAGCTGTTAAAAATTAAGAAACTCCCAATAAAATAAACCCAAACAAAAAATGTGCACACCAGTTTTACTGCTGGTTTGTTTTTTGGTCCTTTGGGCCCCTAATCCAAAAACTGAACGCATATTTTGTTTCTGTTTGGATATTAAACATCGAATCCCTGCTAATGAAAACGTCCTACACACAGAGAAACTTTGTTGTAGTAAAATAACTCAAGACTCATCTTTGCAGCACCTCAGGGAATTCCCAGAAAGCCCAGAGGAGTGCTGAGCCTGCACTTTGGGGCCATGTGAAACTTTTCCTAAATCAAAAATAGGGGTGAGGCTGCTCCTGAGGAAAGAAGCTGGTGGAGCTCTTGGAGAAAACCGACCCCTTGGCCTCCACTGCACTCAAATGCCTGGCATACTTGAAAGGTTCTCAAAGCTCCCTGATCATCTTAACCATGACTTTGCATTCCACAAATGAATCAAACTTTTGTTTAAGTTCATGTAAAAGCAACATTTTGTGTAATATTTATTAGTATTTGTTATCATGTGTGTATACTGCTGTGCACAGACTGCATTCAGTCAACACAGTTTAAAAGGCTTTTGTGTTTAGTTTTGTGGCAGCACGTGTAGTGATTAGCAACCTGTGTGTGTCCCCCTGTTTCACCCCACAGTCCAAAGACATGCACGTTTAAACGGTGATGCTAATACAGCTGTGGGTGTGGATGTGTGGGTGTCTGACTCTGTGCACTGGCCCTGTAATTGACTGGTGACTGGATCTATTTTCAGTTGTTTTCCATGTCTTGGTGATTGTGTCTCTTTGTTTGTTTTGTATCATTCATTTGTAACCTCTATTTTTAAATATGTTGTCATTCAGGGATTGTTTTGTTTCTTTGTGGTTACTTTGTGTCACTATGGTGAGTCTGATAGTTTCAGATAGTTTCAATTTCAACAGTTTGAGTGTTTTACTTGTGTTTTTATATCACTGTGGGAACTGTGTCTGTCATTCTTTTGAGATTGTGTCTGTTTGTGGTCATTTGGGGTCTTTTTGTGATTGTTTTACACTTTTTGTCACCTTTTATGCCACTGTGGCCATAGTAACCGTCGCTGTTACTTTTTTGTGTCTTGGTGTTTCATTTGTCTCTTTTTGGTTGTTGTGTATCACTGTGGTAATCACGTGTGTCACTGTCTTTGTGATCGTTTTTGCCTCTTTGCTTATCTTTCTGCATTTCTATATTACAGTAGCAGCTGATCAGATGACCCCGTGTAATGTAAAAGGCATATTTCTATGTGCATTATGATGTGACTGCATTAATTAGTATCTTCTTTTATTTTGGGAAGATCACAAACTGTCGGGCACACTTCCTGATAACAAAACCTTTGTGGGGTGGACTCTTTTTATGAAAACCATAAAACCGTTATGCTAAAACCATTTAAACACTGGGTGTGTAAACAGCTACCATTCAAAGACTGATTGTTACTCTTGTCTGTTTGCTCTTCTTTTAAATTAACATTGGCAGCCCTTAATGTGGCCGAATGAATGTTTGAGTTTTCATGCAGCATGACGGCGGCTGGGGGAGCGCCTCTCCTCAGGATAAGTCACAGAGGGGACTTCTGCTGAGATAACATGCCCCACCACACACCTGGTATCTCATGCCAGGCTGAGCAGCTGCTGTGTTTCCACACACGTTACCATGGATGTGGACTGCAAACACTGAAGTCTGTGGGGACCTCACTCACACTACACACACACACACAGACATGTCCTCCATGCATCAGGGAACTGATCAAACAGTTAAACCACAGCCATGCAGAGAACAACGACATCAGAAGGTTTGTCTTCACGTGTGGAGACGTTTCACCGACCAAATCTGCTTTACTGTGGCTGTAAAGCTCTTTCAGGCCACTGAGCCATAATTCACCTAAATCTGGGTCACTGAAAATACTTTGTGGAGAAAGCATTTGAGCCTTTTAGTACAGTAACAAAAAAAGTCCGTCAGTAAGGCCGATAATCCAAACAAGAGGCAGGCGAAGGGCAGTGTCCATAAACGGGTCACTTCCACGCATGAGAAAATCTAACAGGAACTAAAAATGAGCAACAAACAGGAAAATCTTACAGAAGAATTGTGCTGGAAAACACAAAAACAGTTTAAAAGCTTGATATTTGCAGAGTGCTGCTCAGGTGGAATAAATACTGGAATGACAAATGAGCTAATGCTACAAAGGTGTGACACAAAAGGGCAGAGCACAGCACAAAGGCTGTAAGAGAGCTGAATGAAGTGTTTGACAAACAGAGATTTCAAAATATCGCCCTGGAAAGCAACCGAGGTGCTTAGTCTGTGTAGATTCTCAGTCATCCAGGTAATGGAAGTCTTAAGAGCTTGAGAAAAGAAAGCAACTGGACTTCGTTGAGCTTGTAAAGATGTTTTGCCTCGCATCCATAGTTCAATTCAAAACAAAAGGTGGAGAGTCCCAGGTAGTCCCCTAGTGAGGGTTGTCCCCTTTGAAGGTTGTCCTGAGGGTCACCTTGCCCCAGATGAGCCAATAGGTCACATGATAGGGTGTGGTAAAGTCCCACGGTGGTTTCACCCTTAACCCCCTGTGATGAATATAACCCATCCCTTTTTTACACCTTGGCTCATATGAGTCATGTGATCAGCAGTAGGTCAGCGACCCCTCAGGACCACCGAGTCCAGGTGTTCTCTTTTTTCAAGCTCTTAAGACAACCGAGACACTTTGCTCCTGTCTTCAAGTAAAAGGATCATTTGACTTTATTCTTAAAGCATTTTGTTAAAAACAAATCAGTGTGTATCATCTCCACTTCATTCAGAATGAAAAATATACAATCAGTCTGAATCAAATACCAGACAAATCACCAACAGCTGTGACATAATGCAAAATGTAAGGATACATTTCAGAGGACTAGAGGTCCCACTACACGGTCCCAAAAAGTGTTTTACATCAAGAAAAATCTCATGTTTATCCATTTAAACATAAATGAAAATCTTTTTATCTACACATGAATCCCCTGGAGAAATTTTGGATACTGCATTGTTTTATGTCTTCCAGTACAGCCTAGCAGTTAACAGACGGCCAGCTACTGAGATCATTTTGTCTGTCTCAGGAGCAACTGAGGCAAAAATTTTTAGACTCCAGTTTCCAGTTACACACTTCTTATTTTTAGGAGTTTCTTCTTAATCAAATTTCTGTTTTTAGCCTGAGGATCTCAACCTCCTGATCCTTGATCTTAAACTCCACTAAAACACAAGGCCAAACGGAGATGTGAAGTTAAATGGAAAATCTCCCCCTCCTTTGTTTGTTTAAATGGGCCCGCTCTTAATCCATAGAAGGAAAGAGATAACTGTGTGTGGGTAAAGTGCATAGTGCATTGAAAAGAACACGTAACCCTCATCAAAATGTCGCGGCTGAATAGAAGCTGTCTGGCCTGATTGGCCACATGCTTTCTGGTCAGTTGGTTCAGTGTGTTTACCTTTGTATGTAAAAGTGGTGCACGGCAGTAAAAGCCAGTAAAGATGAACCAGTGTTACAGTGACTACTTCTAAACCATCTAATCTCTTCTTACGGTCAGAAACAGCTGATTTGTTTTTTAAATAAAGGTAAGTATACCTGAAGTACTCATCGCAGAAACAAGCTCCTCTGTGACTGATTATTTTAATATATGTGACATTAATGTGTGTGATTTCACCACTGTAGCTGTTGAAGACAGTAACTTTTACTAGTTTTATTTCAGTGCATGTCCATAATAATGTTCCACCACTAAGGATAAATATATATATTAAAAATAATTATGTTCTGCAGCATTCAGAAATTCACCAAGATAAGAACTTTATTCGTCCAAAAAGGAAACGCTATGTGTATCCACTATCCCTCCTCTGCTGATGTCGACCATCTCAGCCTCGCCTCTCTAGCTTTGTTTCCAAACTGCTCAACCTGACCTGTCCCTTTGATGTATCCATGTCTAATCTTATCCATTCTGGTCATCTTCAGCTCTGCTGCCCCCAGCTGTTGTTCGGTCAGTGCCACAAACCGTACACCATAGCAAGCCTCACTACTATCTTGTAAACCTTGACTTTCACTTTTGTTGCTATTGTTCTGTCATAACTCAATCACTCCATCCTGCCTGTACTGTCTTCTTCACCTCTCTTGCACACTGTTCACTCATCCACTTCCACCTGTCTCCTTCTCATTCACACATATGTATTCTGGCTTCTCTTTTCAAAATGTACCTCCACCTCTCCAGGCTCTCTTCCACCTGGTCCCTTCTCTCACTATAGATCACAGTGTCATCTACAAGTATCACAGTCCACGGAAATTCCTGCCTGATGTCATTTCTCAACCTGTCACCAATGCAAACAAGAAGAGACTCATAGCCAATCCCTGATGTAATCTCACCCCCACCTTGAACCCATCTGTCATTCCTACCACACATCTTACCACTGTCCCTCTATATGTCCTGCCCCACCCTCACATACTTTTCTGCCACTCTTGAGTTCCTGTACCACAGCTTTCTCTGATTCACCAAAATGCAGTGAAGCTCCTGACCTTCTTTATACTTCTCCATCAACACTCTCAAGGCAAATATGGCATTTCTAGTGCGGTAAGTGATCAAACACTATAACTATAAAATGAATACTGTAGTATTAATAGTAATCATTCCGTCTAGTGAAGACAAATATTATTTTTGACTTTTAATGTGTGTCTTTAATATTTGTCTGGCTTTACTGCCGTTTCTGCTTTGTTTGCATTGTAGAATACTGACACCTGCTGGCCAGATGAGGGAAATATTTTTATGTCCCGCCCAAAAACCTAATCAATGCTTTCAATTGGTTTAAATTTTACAAAGCCCCCATTTAATTGGGTGATATGCTTTATATTGGCCAATCACCGCTTTTGTTTACAACCAGCCTCAAAAGGTCAGAGTTGAAAAATGGGAAGCAATGCAGCTTTAGCTGTCACAGCAGCTAACATGGTGGAAGTTTTAAACTCCAGGAAGGAACAGCTTAATTAAACATTCACTCTAGAAAATGAACCACACAGACGCATAACCGCCCGTCCTGCCCGACTCTGCGATGCTGTGTGCGGGTGTTAAAGCCGTGAGGTCGTCGGCGTCATTACGAAAGGTTGGTGGCTAAGCTAACGGTTCGTTTAACAGCTGATGATGTCCGTTGTGTTTTTAACACTGGAGTAACTTTACACGGTCACTCGTTTGGGTTGGGAAAGCCCCGGTGTCCCTCCCAGGAGAGCTGAAGGACGTTACTTGAGAAAGGAAGCTCTCCTTAGACTGCCGAACCGAGATAAGCGACACAAACTGGAGGGAGGCTGGAGAGAGGATTTCAGAGAGACTGGAGGGATTTACAGACCAGGCTCAAACCTTTAAACCCTGTAAAGAGCAGATAGGAAATGGAGAGCCTTGAGAATTCAGTCTACTATTATTATTATCATCATCCTTATTATTATTATTATTATTATTATTATTATTATTATTATTGCATTATTATTGAGACCATACTAGGATCAAGAAGTTACAGCCCCGGGAACAAATGTTTGGTCCTGCTTGCATCGTCAGGCTTTTTTTCCTTTCTTCAGTAATTATACTCATATATGAAAGTGTACTTACTGTACATGTACACAGAATAGCTTGATTTTAACTTACTGAATCCACCACCATGCACAGTTTCACTAAAATCTTTACAGTGTCTTATAGAAAATGGACGATGGGGCTTTTATAACCCTATTTCTAATTTAAGTATCTTTACATACACACACCTGAAATATGAAGAGATTATTAATGCTTAATATTTATAGTATTATTATTATTATCATTAGTATTTAAGAGACTAAAATGTAAAGACAGATTGATGTGTCCTCACCATGTTTCACATGATTTTCACTGGTCCTCTCACTGTCCTCAGCAGTTATGGACGAGTCATCTTCACAGCGGGATTGTTCAGCACCTCCCTGCAGGACCAGATTCGCCTGCTGCTCCTCCTGTTCTGACGGACTGTTCTGAGCCCGCCGACACAGAGCAAAAGCGTGACTCCATCTCCACTTGGACCCCCGCCCAGGGTTCCCCGCCGCCTCCTACGCACTGCTGCATGAGTGGCTGTCACAACTGCGTGTGGATCGAACATGCAGAGCAGTTGCTGGAGTACTACAACGATGGAAGCGAGCGGGCGCTCGCTGCTATTGAGGAGAACGTCCTCGATGAGAACCTTAAAACTTACCTGAAGATGGAGATCAGACTCTTAAAAAAGACGTGACCGTCGCAGCCAGTGGCATTGACCGCAGTGCTGCCAGAAACCCTTCGCAGGCTGAGATTTTACAGCACACAGTGTACCTCCACATTTTCACCCCTCCTTCATCCTGTGGGGCCCACAGTATATGTCTCATTTTAGAAAGCTGGCAGACGTTAACAGATAAGACTTTGGGTCTTTGGTGGTCATTGTTATGTTGCACTTATCTAATATTTGCTTCTAAAAAGCAGGGGGGGGAAGAGTCGCCATCTGGCAGGTTGCTGGAAATCATAAATATTCAGGATAAAAATACTCTTTGATTTTTACTGGAATCTGTTCAGACCTGCTTTGGCCTTTATTTCATTTAGACAGTGCAGATCTGTCAGGATGTCAAGAAATCTCAACCATGAAAGAAAAAACACAAACACTTACATTTGCAGAAGCTTATTAGGATTATCAAACTACTTCATTTGAAAATGAAAGCAACTCATTGTAAAAGAGTTGAGTCAGGAAGTCTTTCTCCAAACTTCGAGTGTTTTTAAGTTATCTAAGGTTACAGCTTCCTCTGAGGCTCCACAGTGTACTGAGAACAGATGCCAGTCGGACCCTTTTAGATCTTGACATGTTTGTTTTTTTCTTAAGGAAGTAGTTCATGAAAGTCACAGTGTGAAATGTTCTTTTTCTGTTAGAGCCTTGTTTGTTGGTCCAGTTCAGTTGTGGTCTAATATTTTCTAAAAATGGTCGTGTTCTGTGTCTCCGCCTGACGGTGCTGCTTAGCAACACCAGGGCAGATGTTACTGATGGGGGCGTTCTGTTGCAAAACTACAGAATCATGAACCTGGACTACAAACAGGTCCTCTTAGATTTCTTTGCTGGTCGTGCAGGCTGACCAAAGACAATCCAGTGAAAATAGCACTTTATTACCAAATATTTGTAATAGGAAATGTTATTCTCTCTGCTGTCTACTCATACTCAGTGCAAGATTTTCTTATGTGGGTCATATGAGTTGTTGGAAGGTATTATTTCTTTTAATAAAGTGTGTCTTCTGTTAAAGGAGGTGATGAAGTATTAAAGCACATTTCCTTAGTATTTGGAGAATTCAGTGAGGTCTGATTATTGAGGTCTCACTCAGATAAAAAGCTGCCACAACTTTAGTTTCCAACAGTTAAAGTTGTGCACAGACTGCAGTCCAGCCAGTGGTCTGCTTATAAAGCATAACATTGCATCATAACACAGTCCAACGATTCTCTACATGAAAGACCATCGTTACTGTGAATAAACATAAAACAAACTAGTCCAGTGAAGAAATAAATAGCTCGAGCTTTCAGGGTCTGGAACTGCAGCTTTTTGAAGGTGTGATGAGTTTTTGTCCCTTTCTAGTGGATGTTTGCAAGTAATAGTTATAATGTGCACAGCATCACGAGCTGACAAGAGCAGCAATGCTTTAAACTTCAGGGATGTCTGAATTGTTGTCACGGGCTGTTTGGCGTTTGATTGGTTTGCATTGTGTCTTTGCAGCATTTGCACATTTGAAGCATCCGAACAACACTTTGCCTCTCTGTATTTGACTTTATTTAAATCATATTAGAAATTAGTTTTAATCCAATGCTTGTTAAATAAATATTTTTTATTTACTGTCAGATTCAGAGTGCTTTATTTTTATGCCGAGAATTGGTGCACACAACCTCACGTGCAAGTTCAAGCCTGAAAAACTTTAATAGCCTCTGTAGCCACTAGGAGGAGCTACATATGCACAAGACTGTCTGCTGTACTGCAAAAATGATATGACGACCTAACTTGTTTATTTCATCATCATATATTTTTATCCAACCAGCTCCAAGTGTTGTTTATATTCTGATGGGATTATAGTCCGAATATTTAATAAACACAAAATCTTTGTGGCTTCAGGAAATTAAACTTTGTTCTTAATTGATATTTACAGTAAGTATGTAAAACACTGCATTGTTCTCATGATGTTAATGAGATTTAGATCCCTTCTTAGGTAATAATGACTGGTTGTGTCAGAGAAGAAGCCGATCACGTTCGGTCCTGCCACCTTGATGACGTCTTTAGTTAGCCTTCTCCCAGTCCCTCTGGACCAGTATCTGAGGTGACCCTGATCTGACTGAGTCAGCATTAGTCCAGTAATAGTGATGCACTATAAGTCCTGATTACTCAAGGTTCAGTGCTGCAGCCAGCCATACAGCGTGCAGAGTTATGCTTTGATCTAGGTTATGCAGCGGATTAAGAATGAGACGTTTCACTGATCATATGTAGAGCAATGACTCTGACGTGATGGAAAACGTTCAAGGCAGATTATTGGCTGATGCCAAGGCTGCAACATGCCACTTTGCATCATCGCAGTGGGGAACGTTCTGTGAACAGTAAGCTGCGAGAAGTCACGAGTTAGCGCTAAACAGTTTTCTTGTTTCAGTTTCTTTCAAACTGGCATAAAATTGGACCTTTCTGTAGTTTAATAATCGCAGACTGCCTGTAGCTCAAGAACTCATCGAGAATGATTTACGCACCAAACGTAGTCAGATTCACGGGTGTGGGTTGAAAACATTCTAGTTAAACTTGTCAGTCATAAAACTGATAACTTGAAAGAATTAAATGTTAACTGCAGATGACTTCAAATCAATGTTCCCTCTAAGCTGCGCGCGCGCGCAATTGCGCATTGCTGGCACGGTCTCTGCGCACAGAAAATCTGCGCTGCGCACAAAAAAAAATCTAACCTGAATTGAAATTAAAATTAAAACTTTAACAATTCTGTTTTGCAGTGTTAGTCAGTAAGTGACTGGCTGCTCCCGTATGGGATTAGAACGATGCCACCTTATCCCATAGTCCAGCCAATGATGCGATTCACATTCATATATAATCAGCGTGGTTGCCAGGCTATGACAGCGTCCTTATGTGCCGACATCGGTGTTTTAGCTAGCAAAGCGGCTGATGTGGAGTGAAGCCACGTTAATGACAACGTGTACAACCACTGGAGATGTGAGCAGGACAGACGGAACAACTGACGGGAAAAGTGTGGACTTTATACCAGTTTTTAAATTGTGTTGATCGGCCACGTAAAACCAGAGTTATGATAAAATATCTGCAATGTTTGGTTTTCTTCCTGAATACTGTCGTTGTTTATATTTACTGCAGGAAGAAACGGTGGCGTTTAATAAGGAAAACCTCTCCGCCTGTGAGCAAAAACACCCCCCCAGCCTGCTTTTCTATTGGTGGAAAAATGTACCATGTCGACCAATCAAAAATTGATATGGCAACATGGCATTTAGTTGTTTAGGTA